TCTTTTTAGATATTGTTTTTAATTTTAATATTTAATATTAAATTATCCTAGAATTAATCTTTATGTGGGTCATCATGATGCTTTTTATTTTTTTTATTTAATCTATTTTTTTTTATCATAATAATTTCTTCTTCTTCTTCTTCTTTGTCAAAAAATGTTGCCCCACCCATACCATAATATAGGGTGTCCATAATGTAGCTACGGCTACAAAACTCACTTGTCTATGAGTTATTCAAAGTACAATTCAAATGTCAAATCAACTCGTTTTGTTGTTGTAGAGTAGCTTTTCCATATATGGCTGCAATTTCAGCAGTTAAAAGATATGAGCAAACCACAATTGCAGATAGATGGCAGCATCATCAATCAATCCAAAATATTCCCACTTGTGTGTTGAAAACTAACCACACAAGCAAAGTGCCTATGAAACATCATATATATAATTCAAGTGATTGCACTAAAAAAAAGTAGATGGCGAAATTCTCTATTTAAGCATGACCAAATTAATACGCAATCAAAGATTCCTTCTTGCTACTCAATATCGGTGACCCATGCTTGGATCTCACGAGGCCCCTATAGTTGCTCTCATCTTCCTGACCTACCACAATCATTGAAGAGTTCAATAAATTTGAAAATGATTTGATAAATGTAAGATTCTCATCTCATCCTCTTGGAATGGACTGACTTCAACCAAAAAAAACTTCACCATCCATAATAATAAAAATAAATAGGGATTTATATAGTTATTAAAATTAAAATTTATAAGATTAATTGAAATACATATAAATTATCAGAACTCTTATATTAATTAAAAAAATCATCTTAGAACAATGATCATGAATTTAAGCTCTTTTAAAAATATTAAAATTTTATATAGTTGTGAACTTCAAGACTCATAAAATTACTCGAAATACGCACAAACTCAGCTAAATATACATGTTAATATTAATAAAAAATTCATCTTAAAACATGTTAGAGTGTGATGTGGTTGTAGTTTAAATTTTTTTTCTTCAAAATATATTATAATAATTTTTTAATTTTTTAATTTATTTTTGATATTAACATATCAAAATAATTTAAAAATATAAAAAAATTAAATTTTCATAAAACAGTGGTCTCCTGTAAAACGCAATCTTAGTTTTTCGTGCCGCCGAAGTCCACCGACAAACAGTGTAAGGAAACGTCTTCTAAGGTCTATCATCAACAGTTGTCTCTCCACATGCATTGCTAATCCTATAAAACATGTTGAACTGATCAAACGTTAAATAATATGAATATTTGAGGAGAAATTGAAACCAAAATTAAAATGAGAGAAAAGTAGGATGAAGGGTTTGTTTGACATTGCTTGTTGTTGTTATTGATAGGGATTATGTGCAAAAGCAAATGGTATTTTCATGTCACACGCATGCATACTCATAAGGTTTGGGCTCTACAAGCCAATTAAAATACTTTTTTTTAATAAAAGAATTCTACAGCAGATTAATATTAATTTTTTTTAATAAATTCACAAATCATACTAAAAGGGTATGATTTCTTTTGAAATTGGATTATTACAAACTAATCTCACTAACACTTTTGTCTCTTTCATACACATGTTTAGAATACTTTCTTAGGAATGAAATCAAGTTGAGTAAATAATGTATTTTCATTTATTCAAGTCAAATGAATTTTAGAATTTTAAAAATTATTCTAAAAAAATTCAATTAAAAAAATCAAATGGATTTAATCTGATCAAATAGTTGAAAGTAATTCTAAACCCTCATGATTATGATGATTTGGATGACATCCATATCTTAAAAAAGTGCATGAGACATTATTTGGTGACCAAACCCTGCACTTCCAATGTGTTGCTGGAATAGGCATTGTGTCCTCTTCCTCTAGGCAAGACTTGTGATGATGGATGATGAATGATTTTTTATTGGTAATTTTTTTTCTATTTTTTTCTCTTTTTTATTAAGAAAAGTGCATGATTGTCTTTTTTGTTTTTAGTATTTCAATTTTAGTCTATATTTATTTTTAATTCTTATCAGTTTTATAAAAATTTTATTTGTTTTCAATTCGTTTCCAATTTCTTAATTCAATATCAAGTTTTGTCCTCGAAGTTAAATACTTTGTAATTCTAACTTTCAACTAACATAGATGTTTTAACTCAGTCCCCATGTTCTAAATTTTGTTAATGGATTTAGGATGAATTATTTAACTCTATGATAGTGTTTGATTTGTTAGACAAAGATGTTTGATTTGTTAGACAAAGATGGACTAAACAAGTTAATTTTTTTTTATGAAATTATTTGGTGAACCTTTGAATAATACAAAAATCAATTTTTATGTAGTCTAAAGTTATTTTAGTGGAGAAATTTTTATCTTGCTAAAAAGGATAGGACAAATTTGTTCAATTCTCTGCATAAGGATTTATTTAGGTAAATGTAAAGATAAAAATAATTATTATTATATTTTAAAACTTTACTTGAAGGTCGACTTAGGGTAAGGCGTGAGTCATGGATTGGGTTGACCATTGACCCATATCAATGTAAAGATAACAATGATAATTATTATAGTTTTAAAACCTTACTCAGAGGTCGATTTGAGACAAAACATAAGTCACAAATTGGGTTGACTATTAATTCGTGTTAATATAAAAATAAAAATAGTTATTGTTATAATTTTAAGACCTGAATTAGGGATTGACTAGGGGCAAGGCTTATGTCACTAGTCGAATTTACTATTAATTTGGGTCAACACAAGAATAAAGTAATTATTATCAAAGTTTTAAAACTCAACTAAAAGGTCAATCCAAAGCTAGGCTCAGGTTGACCATTCACCTAGATCAACATAAGGATTAAAAAGATTATTATTATAATTTTAAAATCTAACTTGGAGGTTACTTGAGGCCTGTTTAGATCACTAGTCAGGTTAACTATTAAGTTAGGTCACTATAAGGATAAAAATTACTATTATTATAGTTTTAAAACTCGAATAAGAGGTTGAATTGGGGCAAAGCTTAAGTCATAGATCAGGATGGTCAGCTTGGATTAACCCGATGCAATATAAAATAAAATTGATTATTATTATAGTTTTAAAATTCGACTCAAGAGTTAACCTGGGACAAAGCTCTAATCACGAGTCAGAAGAATTAGCATGGGTTGATCCAGATTAACATAAGGATAAAAGTGACTAATATTATAGTTTTGAAACTCATCTTAGGGTTCGACTCATGATAAATCCTTGGTCATGAGTTGGGAGAGTCAATATGGGTTTGACTTAAATCAATATATAAGTAAAATTGACTATTATCATAATTTTAAAATCTGACTTGGAAGCCGACCTAAGATAAGGTTATTGGTTAGGAGAGTCAACTCAAGTTAACTAAAAAAAATAAAATAAAAAAGTTAATGAATTTTTTAACTATGTTATATCTCAAATTAATTAGACAAGTTGACTTAAGTTTTGACTAGATCAAGTCAGATTAGTCATTTTTTTATTTTTTTAAACCTAAACTAATTCAAGTTTAAACTTATCTAGATTTTATATAATATCTATTAAATATAAAATAAAATAAATTATTCAATCTAGTTTGAAACACCAAACTCAAGAAAAAGACAGGATAATTATTTATCATTCATCATACAAGACATTACCTGGAGGATGGATTCACATGGTGCTCATCAAGCCACGTGTATTTCTTTTCTAAACGTTTCAAGTTCAAATTTTAAGGGAATTTTTTCATATGCACCATAAGTTCACTTCGAATTAATATTGTTCGAGAAGATGATTTAATTTTAATTGACGCATGAAAATATTCTTTATACTGATTAAAAAAAACACAAATATGCTCGAGGGTGTATTTGTATAATGTTTTAAATTATTTTAAGAAATTATTTTTGAGATGATTTTGATATATTAAAATCTCTCTGCAAAACATTAAATTTGATGATTTTTTTAATATAAAATCATTTTTATAAAACTTCTTGCATTGTATTATCAAATGACATTTAGATCCTACTATATATGTTTATAAATTAAACATCTTTGGACCTAACTTGTAACAATGGCAATGATTACTGAAGATCTTGCCTTTATAAAAAAGCAAATTGATGATCTCGAGCATATGGGATAAAAATGAATTACAGGGGAAACATGTTTATCCCTATTTTTCCTATAATTAGCAAGTTTTTTTAAAACACAGCAAGAACAACTAGAAGAAGTCAATAGAAATAACAGAAATAAGTTTAAGTGTCAGTTGTAACCGAATAATAAAGACTACAAACAACTGGGAGGCCCTCCACGTTCCCTCTTGTAGCCGTAACAAGCAAGGTATAGTACCAACCGATGCTAATAAAATGAATAAATGCACACAGAGATTCCTTAATTTCTGCCTAATCTTTCCTCCATTTATTTTTCTTGAGCAAGAACGTTAGTTATAGATCATTGAGTCTTCGTTGAGATCATTAACATGTGCTGAGTTTCGAGCTTAAATGCATTGCCTTATCTGGTCTTCGTTTATGTTTTAGACAAAAGGGCGGGGACATTGGATTTTGATTTCTGATGTTTCTTTCATTAATGTTGTTGCTGTTGTCTTTATAAGTGAAGAGAATCTCAGTTGTGGAGATGGAGAGTGATCAGACTGAACATCATCATAGGCATCATCGCAACCAGCAACGTCAAGTCTTGTTGCCAACACAGTCAGGTATACATGGTCTTTGTATAATTATTGGATTCAAGAAGCCATGATTTTTTTTTCAAGATTTACTTCCTATTTTGGACATTTCTTGGACTCTTATGGTGCGTAATGAGTCGGGGTTACCTGGGTTTTTCTAATCTTAGTTAAAGGCAGTTTAGTTTATTTTCGGTATTAAATCCAATTCTGATATACTTTTGCAGTTATTTTTCATGTATGAGGAGATTTGTACAGTGGCACTTGAGTACAGAGAGGAAGGAAGGGAGGGAGGGAGTGGAAATGGCCACTGAAACAGACCATCTTCATCACCATCATCATCAAACCTATGGAGAAAATCGGTCATGCCTGCAACTATCACCAGATAGAGAAGAATCCCAGGTATAATTTTCCAATGTTTTGCCTACCTTTTTTCATTTTGCTTTGTTTCTATCTATCTGCAAACAGTTCTTTTTCATGTCCCATTAGGGTTCTTTTAATGTTAAACTTAATTATTAATTAAATAAAAGCCTCTGTTAGGATCAGTTATCTTTACTTTTGCAGCACCATGTTGTTTTCTGTCTATTTTCTTTGCATACAAATTGTGTATGTTCAAGCAAGATTTAAAGAAAATTAAAATACTTCAAAAAAAAAAAAGTTAAAGAAGATTAACTTTCTTCATGGAACACAGCGCAATTTGTGTAATTTTATATTGATTGTTTAATTGATTTTCAGAATACTATTTGAATCCTGAGGATTTGAATTATAGGAACAAAACCAATTGTTTTTAGTGACAAGTCGTTCAATCAAGAGGGTAATTAGCATGAAACTTACTACATTACGACCCTTTGCATTTACCAATGAAACCATAAATTTAAGCTGATTCAACTAGAGTACTTGCAAACTTCATACCAGAATTGCTGTAATTATTGAAAATGAAGAGTTGAGTTACTGATTGAGATGTAGAACTCAGATAATAATGAAAGTTTTTGAGTTACTGATTGAGATGTAGAACTGCAAATAATATTGAAAGTTAGAAGTTGTTCTGTTAATTTGACCATCACTGTTCAATGTTTTTTTTTTAATCTATAATTTATCTTTAAAATCCAAAGCAGGATGCGTCAGTCTCCCAAATCATGGATTGCGGCTCAATAACTTTTGGAAGATACACTGCAGACACGCTTGCATGGGAAAAATATTCTGTTTTCTCCCACAACAGATGTCAGGAGGAGTTGGAGAAATTCAAGGCACCAGGATTAGTTGCTCAGAAGAAGGCATATTTTGAGGAATACTATAAAAAAATTAGAGCTGTGAAAGGTTTGCAAGCAGAGCAAGAAACTACTCAAACTGACCCCACTCAAAATGGGCAGGAGATCACTGCACATGAAGAAAATGGTGTTGGTGTTGAAGAGTCGAAAGAGGAAATTAAACCTAGCAACAGTAGTCCGGAAGAAAATGTTGTTGATTTTCACAGATCAAGAGAGGAAAACAAGCACAGCAATGGCTATAAAATTCAGGTGTTAGATAGTCATGCCACCGATACTATTAACCCATCTACGAGAGCCATTAATGATGGAGCAGGAGAAGAAAGTTACTTTGATGGGAACAGTGGCAGGGCTAGCAAAGAAGATGAAAATGGGTTGTGCTTATCTGTCAGAATAACAAAACATTCTATGGAAGGTGGTTCCTCGTCATGTAGTCCATCAGTTAAAGGTAGTTCCAAAACTACCCAAAAAGAGAGTCCTGTCAGCAATGAAGTCAAGCATAGTGGAAGCCAACTGAAGAAGCAGGCATCTACTATGAGGGCAAAGGTAAACAATTAACGTTTCATTTCATGTCAACTTCACAAATTCCAGAACTGATAATTCATGCAGGTGTTGATATTCTTCTTAAATCTGCATATCATGCCCATTTATTTCCTTTTTGAGAGATGGGCTTTTGATCTACGATGGAATTCCAGAACTGATAATTCATGCAGGTGTTGATATTCTTCTTAAATCTGCATATCCTGCCCATTTATTTCCTTTTTGAGAGATGGGCTTTTGATCTACGTTGGCCGAAGGTATCTCTATGTTGTATGCAAATATCAAAAGAGCTGTGTTTCGACATGCACTATTGCTAGTTCGTGGTATACGGAAGATCTGTTGATCATTTGCTTTGAATCATTTGGAGATTGGAAGATACTGTTGGCTATATTTTATCTCGTTTCTCTATTTCGCTACCCAATCACGGTGGATTGGGGGCCCTTCAACCCAAGAGCAAGGCTGAGAGTGACTACATGCAATTCAGGCAAAAGAATTACCTCTAAGACTGCAAGCAACATAAAATCTGACCGGGTTCAATCACATAGACAACTTAGCGAACTGCAATCCAGTACAAATGTTCTTCGTGGTTCATTAACAATGGACAAGATGGTCTCACTTTCTTCTAATATAAGAGGCAGTCCACTTAAAACAAGTTCAACTCCCAAAAGCATGGCATACAGGCTCCCAGCAACATCATCAGTTCTCACTCGATCTGCTCAGGTACATCGTCTAGTCTGTGTTCACTTTGGCGTCCCAGTTTAGTCTGCTTGTTAATGATTTTCGCTGATTGTTCATCTGCATTTATATATGCAGAGAAGTTCAAAAGAGATCACCACCATTAGTCGATTGAGAAAAATCAGTGTAGATAACAGGTTTGATTTTACATAAGATATCTCTTCCCATCCCCACCCGTCAATCAGGTTTTTAACTTGGATAATTTTTCAGGAGCTGTGATGGATTTGGTCAGCGGTCTTTGGGGTTGAGTGGCCACCATAGGCTTCCAAAGAGTAGAGAATCTGGAAACCAGAGACCAAAAGTCATGTAATGCATCATAATTGCACCTCCCTTCCTTTAAACTTTATAGCATTTCCAATTCCTAGTGAATACCAGATGGCTATTGCCAATTGCTTCTCAGCTTCTGCTAATAAGTTATCAGAAACTGAATTCAATTTTTCCAACAAATATCAGGTTAAAAAATCTTTCTGACCGGAATGAATCAAATCAGAACACTGGACTTGAGTGTGGATCCATCAGTTCTGTCAAAGGAGAGAAGCAGAAAAAGGTAAACCTAGTTGTGTGCTTAATATAGTCTGAAACTATGCATAGCTTATAGTCTAGTCATTTTGATTCTAAACCCTTACTTACTGCTAGATTGGCTCATCCTCTAAGCTACCAGCAGCATCATTTTACGATTATTCTGTATTCTATCAATTTCAATTGTTATTTACTTGTTGAATCTGCATGATCCATGTTCGCATGATAGTTTCTTCTGACACTTCTGGATTGTCATGTATCTGGTTTTCAAGTTTGTCTGGTATCTGATATTTTTGTCTGTTTCAGCTAATGAACACCTTTTGTTTCGTCCATTTAGTGAAAGTTTTACTTCCACTTGACGCATACATTTTCCGATAACTGCAGGGAATCGATGAAATCGTTGCTGGACCTGAACCGAAACCTGGCTCATCTAAGGGGACTAGTATTCAGAGGGCATCTAATCTAAAGCCCATGAATAAGGTCAGATTTTATCCCATTTCTCATTTATTTGCCTATAGTTCTCAATTTTTTACCTGGAACTTGGACGTTTGAGATCAGTTTCCCCCCCTTTTTTTGCTACAATGTGTCCGTGTGGTCACTTCAATTAATTTCTAATGAGATCTTACCCTTCTTTCATCAATTATGAACAAAAATATTGATAAATGTTGAATTTGATAATTTCAGATTGCCAAATCCCAGTCTGTCGACCTGAAGTGCAAACCGAGGGATTCAAGGTATGAAACATCTACTTTGCCTTTCTATTTGTTATTCTATTATATCCGAAACTTTGGTGATTTCCTGTTCTTAAATTGACTACCTGGAGTCGGATATTTTTCTAGATTTGATTAAATATTGATAAATGTTAAACTTGTTTCTTCACAATCTCCACAGACACATTGATGCAGGCATGCATGGATTATTATCTCCATAAAATTGTGTTTGTTCTGTGACTTAGACTAACACAATGCCATCATGCAGACAGAGGATGCCATCACGCGTGCAGAGGATGCCAATTTGGCGATGAGTGTTTAACAGGTGGAGGGAGTTGAGGTCATGTGATGTTCACAGCTTACTGAATCGTAAGTCTTGGGGGAATGTGCTGAACTGCAGATTTCAGGATGTTCACAGCTTTCTGAATCAACATGGCTAGGCAGAAGGCTATTAGATAGGAAATCTTGATACAGGAAGTAGAATAACTGCATGACGAGTAAACAGCAGATCTGTAAATAAGAAATTTTCCATTCTCAAAGGCTTATATATGTAAGTGGAATTAGTTTCACGGTATAAATTGTGCTTCTACACATGAATGAGTTCTTATTTTGCAGCTATCATGAAGAACAGCTAATAGATCAAAAGTGTTGGCGATCTCTCAAATAAAATTTAGTAGCTTTGTAAATAACAAAATCTAGTTGAATGACTCGGTGATGATTTTTTTCTCGATTGACTAATCCACTGTGTGAGTATCCCTCAAATATCCCCTCTCTGGATTTGGATGCCTGCAAGATCCAAGGGAAGTTCAAGCCAGAAATTAGAGCAGGTTTTGACTGCCATGCATAGAGATGTTTGAAAAATGAAAAGAAGAAATGATACAGAATTCAGACAGGAATAACAGTTCTCTGGTTAAGTCCAGAACTATGAACTGTAGCAATGAATTTTCACATGCTGGACATTCTAATTCAGCGTAGCAATAAATCGAATTGAAGAAGAAAGTTATTAGGATGAAAACCATACTCTTGCCAATTGGTGAAAATTGTCCTGAGAGCAAGCAGAGAAGCTTGTACACATGATCCTGTTGCCAATCCAATCAAAAGGCCCTTCGCCCTTAATTGTAAAACAAAAGCCAACACAGCTGCTACCGGTGTCCCAACCAGATAATACGCCCCAAGATTCACGTAGGCTCCAAACTTCTGCCACCCGCTTCCTCTAGCAACCCCTGATGCAGAGCAGAAAAGCAACACTCTGATCATATCTGGAAGCAACATCAAGGAAGAAAGACTTATCGACTATTGCAGGCAGCTTTATGTTCTGTTCTTCCATATTTGAAGAAAGCTGTTGCTGACTATCGTAAAGTTTAGATTACAGTGATAAAAGAAATTTCTTGCTCTAATAAATCGATAAACGAGAAAAAGCTACGACGCTTGCCTGAAAGAACTGATTGTAAGCAGTCCATGATAACTGACAGACAAATGAAAGGAGCCATATCTGCAACATAATTTACAATTTCCTTCTCGCTGCTGAATGCATATCCCATAATGTGGCGACAAAAGAAGAGAGCTGTGCTTATAATAATCGCCTCGGTGATTGCAATAACCATTATGGCCCAGACAGCCGTCTTAGCTGCCTGAGGATTCCCAGCTCCTAACTCATTCGAAACCCGGGTGCTACAAAAAGATTGAACATTTTTCTTCAGGAACAGTGACGAGTAATGGGAAAAAAAAACTGAGTTACATGATCTATATGCAATAGAGTTTGAACAATTTTTTTACAACACCTTGCTGGATCTATATGCAATAGAGTTTGAACAATTTCTTTACAACACCTTGCTGTGGCCCCAAACCCGTAAGGAATGAAGTAATGCAGATAGGTGATTGTGAAGCTGCAAGCAATACTTGAAGAAATTAAAAATGTACCATTTAAAACCTTTTGCATAACTGAATTTGGTAGGAACCATACCATATAGAAAGCACAGAGGTCTCCTCTTTAGGATTTGGTAACAGCCCAGATAGTAAAATAAGTACCTCATAAGACCACCATTCAAGACTGAAGAAATTGGCATACCAAAGATGATATCAGGGACTCGATTGGCATGGAAATAACAACAGGATGAGGAAAAAACCATGTCTTTTGTTGGAAGATTTTGGAGAGAAATTACCAAGTCATTATTGCAGAAGGAACAGCAAAGCGAAAGAACTCCCTTATGCCAAAGAAGACATCCTTTGAGAACACAGAACGAGTTTTTTCGCATTCGGAAGAATTCTTCATGTATAACCCAAGCAAGATAACATTCAACCAATATGATAAACTGATGGCTAATGCTGCTCCTATGATTCCCATTTCTGCTTTAAACACTAGAGCCCAACAGAGAGGTATATGGAAACACAGAGAGGCAAATGAACTACACAGCATTGGAAGGATCAAACTCTGAGTTTGGAAGTAGCGAATCAGCGCTTGAAGTATAGCATATGAAAACAAGTTAGGAATGAGGCAAATAGAGTATTTGCGAGCGACATGGGAGATTGAAGGGTCTTGGCCTATAAGGATAAGAAGCTTGTCTGTAAACATCCATAGAAAGGATATAGGGAGACAGACCAAAATCAAGGAAATGATGGCACAGTAAGTGTAAGTCCCAAGCTTTTGATATTGCTCTGCTCCGTAAGCTTGCCCGCATAGAGTTTCCAATGCACCAGCTAATCCAAACTGTTTGAAAGTCATAGCACCATGTTAAGTGTAGCTTGAAAAGTTTATCCTTAATGTACTTCGAACTCACTGAAAACTATATTATAATTTGAACTGAATTACGTCACATTTTGTTCAGCTTTGACCTCTCAACTGATTCAAAACATATAAAACTACGAGAAAACCTTGTCAAATCCGGTTGTTTTCGTTTTCAGTTTGTTTGAATATCTGTATAGTTGTCATTGCGCAAATGAGGAGAGCCTTGAGGCAGAATTTTGCCTGGTGCAGGAATAAAAGTGGAACTCATTGCACCTTCCAAAGCTCATCTAATTTTCTTCCACGTATAACCATAACCATGTATCAAAAAATCCGATATTTATATATAATAATATCTAATGAAGATTATATATATTAATAAAAACATATAAGATCTCAAATTTATTTTTAACAATAAAAAAATTGAATAATATTACAATTACTACATTGAAAGCTTACAACATTTAAGTTCAGGCAGACCAAAGCTCGAATAGGAAATCAGTTGAGTTAAAATAAACCCTTCTGCACGGAAAAAGTTCTTTACTGATTGAAAAAATTTGCAAAAGATTTGAGAGTAGTACTGAGGTGCAGTTTTCAATTAAGAGAGGAAAAGAAGTAGTTACAAGCAGACTGAAGCCGGTAACACTGGTGAAAGAGGAGGCACTAGAGATCCCAGATAGTGAGAGCTCATCAAGATGTCCAACCATCATCACTGAAACAACCTGCATCAGGTACTGCAGAACTGTGACTGCGACCATTGGCGCTGCTACATAGCTCACCTTCTTCAGCTCTTTCAAAGAGAGCTTCCATTTACAACTCATTTTTCTCGGCTCTTTACACAAATACCTCTCGCGT